GTTAGAATTGAAACAATTGAACAGTTTTGTTATAATAATGTTGTGGTACCCTTGATGTTCTGTATCAAGAAGGTTGAGTTAAGTTAGAATTGAAACAATTGAACAGTTTTGTTATAATAATGTTGTGGTATTGTTGATGTTCTGTATCAGGAAGCTTGAGTTGAGTTAGAATTGAAACAATTGAACTTTAAGTGTTTTGGCATTTTTTATTGTTGTAAACTGTCAAAATATTAACTTTTGTTATTGAACTATCCTAAATAATTGGAACTGGAAAATTTTGAAATTTTTTATGTGAAAACATGCTTAATTATTTTGAAGAAACATCTTTCTCAAATTTGTCTATAATGAAGTCAACAGAAGTGTAATTGTATGTGTATACATGACTGGCCTGGTAAGCACAAAATATTTTGCCTTAGTTTGAAATTTGCATGAACATCATATCATATTTCTTTTTTATTGAATAAGTGTTTTCATTTTAGTGAAATGGAATAGAAAAACAAATCATGAAACATTCTACTGGATGGGGCTATGAGTAATCAGTCCTAAAAATATCTTTCTTTCAACAAAGATAAACATTGTATTTATTGTCTGAGCATGTTTTGAGTGTCATATGTTGTGATACTTAGTGCCACACCTCCTGCTTAACGATAACCTTCAAAAGATGTCAGACAGACAGTACATTATGTATTTTAGACGAGGAACATCCACTGTACGCACTTCTTATGACAGAGATTAGTCATTTTAGCATTCTCAGTTGTGTAAGTATTCCAGGTTATGGTTTTCCATCAAATTATGATATTTAAGGCTTTCAATTTTTTAATTTTTATAATTATGAATAAAAAACTGAAAGTTAAGTTCTGAATCAGGTTTTTCTGTTCCATATGTATAATTAAAATGAAATATATGCTGTTTAGGAAAAACTGAAGAATCTATGGTAAAATATTTTATTTAAAAAAGAAATGGATACTAGTGAACATGTAGAATAGCATATGAAAAATAAGTTGTTGTTTTCTTATGATTCTTCCACTATTTTACTACATCTAAGACATTGTTCAGTACTTAGTAAAAATATTGTGTGTATTAACCCCTTTTTAAAAGACTTTAATGATGTGACATTCTTTTAGGGGAGTGTAATAAGGCCTAAACTGTTACTGCAGTGTTATGAGGGGTGTAAGTAAGGCCTAAACCATTACTGAAATGTTAGGAGGGTGTAAGTAAGGCCTAAACCATTACTGCAGTGTTATGAGAGGTGTAAGTAAGGCCTAAACTGTTACTACAGTGTTACAATATCATTAAAAAGTAGTTTCTTTGTCTACTTGGAATACATTAATATGACTCAAAAATAACTTATATTATTTATTACTTCCCAATAAGTAATATAAAGTTATCAATCAGTTTATCTTTCACAAAATTGTTAATGTTATTTTTTGGATAATGTTAAGATAGATGATGCAAGAATGAAAAAAGTCTGGACTTCTGTCCACCTTGCAAATAGAAGGTAACTGTTATTATGAAATATCTCAAATTCATGCATTTTTTTTTCCCTATTATATAAAATAATGTTTGTTTTGTTTAGTATTATATAAAAAATATTTTAATATGTCAAAATGACAAAAGCTAATGTGTAAACAAATGTTAGATAATGACATCAAGGGTAAAAGAAAGCAATAACATGTAGATATATATCTGATAGAAAAGCCAATGTCTGATGGATGAAAGTACTGGGAATTTCTTTTCAGGTCTTAAATAATAACCACACTTTGGCTTTATATATATATATATATAACCAAAATTCAGTTTTTTCTGTGTTTTTTATTTACTTGTTATCTGTTGTTAAGGTAAGGTATAACATTTAAATTACATTATTTTTCAAGAAAAAATGCATTGGTAATTACCGATAGACTAGTAAAACAAAGTTGTGAACAAAACAAATGTGAACAAATTTTAGGTCTGACTAGTTGTTAGATGGTTTAAATGTTTTGAGTTTTTTTATTCGTAAAATTTCTGTTTTCTCATAAGAAAAGTAATAATATTATATAATCAGATGATGAGTTGTGAAAACTAATTCTCAGAGTTGAAAATGTTAGCCATTTCTCTTATCTTCTTTTATAAAGTTGATTTACTTAAATACTTTTTGTCATAGTTCATTTCTCTCAGAAACATTATTTCATTTATTTAAAGGTTTAAAAATTAGAAATATGCAGTTTTTTACAGTAACCTTTCAGCTTCAGTTAAGATTTAATTTTCTCAACTACAGCTCTAGCTATATTTCTCCATTGTTAATTTGTTTTAATAATACAAGAATCTGTATGCTTTCAATGTTGTATTGTTGAAAATATTTTGGAATGCTTAACATTTGTTTATATTATAATCCTGAATAATTAAACATAATTTAGCAAGAAAACATCATGCTTGATGAATTTCTTTTCTTTCTAAGAAATCACATTATATTCTCTTTGTGAGATTGAAGTTACATTCAACAGTTTCAATGCAGAGGTTTAAGATATTGCCTGGATGGTTTTTTTTATCCTATTTGTTGCTATAATATTAGGTTATTGAAAACCTTTTTCTTCTTAGAAGGTACTTCACACAAGTGACATTTTATTAGATGATTAAATATTTACTCTGCCAGAATTTTGTTTCTTATGCAACATTACTTAGACATGTGCTAGCCATGTCCTAGTGGCTACTGTGCCAGGCTGTTGATTAAAGGATCCAGGGTCAGAGATGTGATAGTGTGCAACACTAACATCATTCGGCTGTTTAGTGTATGGGTACACAAGGTTCTATTCAGGTTGAAGATTCCAATTTCTTTTTACTACTTGTGTGTATATTTTAAGTAAGGTTTGGATAATTTAATTTTAATAATGACAGTGAAAATTATTGCTTGATATTTTATTAAACTATAATTGTTCTAGGTAAAGATTATAAGAGTCGTGCTCTCGGTTTGAATATCTCTTGCTGGAGGCTACTGTGTAAACAGAGAACCTTTGATCTGAGACACTAAATAGTGACCCACATTTTAAAATAAAATATACTATATATGTGGCTATTTTGTTCAATGAATCATCTGCCCTCCAGTTAAATTTCTCAATGGATCTGTATGAAAGTTGAAGTATTAGTTATTGATTAAAATGATAGTTGTAATATCAAAAATTTTTATTCTAAGGACAAAATGACACGTATTTTAAATAATAAAGTAAGCATAAAAGTCAATTAAGAATGGCTTATTGTATTTAGTGTTTAGTACGTATCTAATTGGCACCGCTGACTGACTATTTCCTTATTTATGTAGAACTTTATGCTTAGCAATGTATGTGTCAAAATCACTATGTTATAGGATCTCCTGCAAAGGTGATGTACTCTATAAGTTCAATTAAGTATTTTAGTTTCCTTGATTTTTAATTTGAGATATCTCTTTACCTGAGGAGAAGAAAAAAATTAAGAGACTTGGACTAAAACAGAATACTTTGGTACTACTGTTTCATAATTTTATGTTTCCTAAAAACTTAAAGCATTATGTAGGAAAAATATACATACGTACATACATATATATATATATATATATATA